AGCGATGTCTATGATGATCCCTCTTCGTTGTTCCTTGTTGATCAGCACAATATCTGGTCGGTTGAAGTCCACTGTTCGATCTGTGATGATTAGCCTATCCCAATACATCACGGCAACTTCCGATTCCAGCACAGCTTCCGGGACATATTTGTAGTATGGCGGAGCCGTCGCTAACAGGCAATACTTGAGCGCCAGTTGTTGGTGAACCATCTTCGCAAGTTGGTTGTGCCTGCCGAGATATGCTGACTCTGATAGCGCGGGACACCCTCCTATTATGTGTTCTATAGTTTCGCCTGCAGACCCACATTTTCTACATAGGTCTTCGACGTCGTCTCTCAGGATATTCTGGTAATTTCTTGTTTTTATAACCCTGTCCTGAATGGCAGTCAAGAAGCCTTCGATCTCGGGGTACAGATAGCCGTCGGTAAGCCATTTTAATGAATTTTCTTTGTCGATGTGGTCTGGCTGTAGCATGATGTTCAATAGACCTCTCCCACCTCGTCTTCGCGGCAGGTAGAATCTGATTACGGAAGAGTTAGTGTGTAAGTGCCTGAACTTAGTTAGGAGCCGCCTGGTAAGTCGGTCGAGCTCATCAAGATCAGTAACGGACCACTTGACGATTCCGAAAGAGTATGTCAGCACAGGGACAGCCCACGAGTTGATGGCTTTGATAAGATTGCCTCCAGATAAAAGCGTATTCAACAACTTTGTCACACGGCTCTTGTATTTCTCTTGGAATTCTTTCTTCAGATGTGTGTGGTTGATCCTGCCGTCTTGACACACTCCCAAGTAACGGTATTGCTCTTCCGGTGGTAGTTGATGGATGTCGGCATATACCTCTGGATTGTTATGGGGTGCTCCCTTCACAATACTCAATGTGGCGCACTTATCCAGGCCAAAGGACATTTTGATGTCGTCGCTGAAGGTTCTAGTAGTTCCAATGAGGGCCTGGAGATTTGCCTTGGACCCACTGAATAGTTTTAGATCGTCCATGTAGAGCAGGTGAGTGAGTGTTGCTCGGTTTCTCACGTTGATCTTGTACCCAGCTGTTGTCTTATTCCGTAGGGTTGATAATGGGTTGAGTGCCAAACAGAACCAAACCGGCGAGAGTGAATCACCTTGGAAGATTCCCTTCTTGATGTCAACTAGACCTGTGTTCCCTCCAGAGACCCAAATGTTTGTTATCCAAGACTGCATAAGATGTTGGAGAAGAGCTCTTATCCGAGGGCAGACTTTGTAAATTTCTAGGACTTTTAGTAGCCAGTCGTGAGGTACCGAGTCGAACGCCTTGCTGTAGTCGATGTAACACATATGCAAGTTTCTTCTTCTTACTTGGGCTTGCTTCAATACCACAGCGTCGATTGTCAGTTGATGTTTACACCCCGCTGCGCCTCTGATGCATCCCTTTTGTTCTTCCTCAAAGATGTTGTTTTCCAAGCAGTGACGATAGATTTTTTCATTTATGATAGACGTGAACAGCTTATAGTGTTGGACAGAAGTTATATGTGGACAGACACGTGATGGGTCTGTAGTTCTTCGGTTGTGCAGCATCACCCTTTTTGAAAAGCATGAACGTGTTGCCTGTCATCAGGGAAATCAGGTACGACATGCGGATCGTTGATCGCCTCCGTGAAACACTTTGCCAGAATGCCATGAGATGCAGGTAGGTGCTTGAGCCAGAAATTGTGAATCCCATCAGGGCCCGGTGCTTTCCAGTTCTTGGTCCTCTTGATTGCCGCGGTTACGTCCTCTTCTGTAATGATTCCGACAGCCATTTGATTGAGATCTTCGTTGTGTGCTTCAATTTCCTCAATCCATGGCGCGTTCTCGTTGTATGTGTCGGCGTCACTCCATATAGAATTACAGTATGTTGTGAATCGCGCTGGATCGATTTCTGCAGGTTGTTCTTCATCCTGTTTCTCCAAGCTCCTCAAAAACTGCTTTTGGTTGTTCTCGAAAGCAGCATTCTGTTGTTTTCTTTTTGTTAGCTTGTTGTATCTACGCAGCCTGGCACCCCTTCGCTTTCGCCTTTTGTCTTAGAAGATCTTTGAGGTTCAATAGTTGTTGCCGATGGTCTGCATTATTCAGATCTATCTGCGCCTTTCTAGCTATGGCTTGTGTTTTAGCCATGACCCTTCGAGAGTTGTTTCCTGCTAGAAATTCGTTGAGGACATCAGCGTCAGCTCTATGCTCATCGATGTTCTTCTCAAGTCTCTTCCTCCACATTGGGGCATCACTGTTCTTGTTCTTTCGGTTGGGGTTCGGCGTATACACTTGCTGTCCATTCAATTCAAGGATGAGTGCTGAAGCACAATACACACCCAAATGTGCCTTTTGTAGGTCATTTGTGCCATCCAAATACTGTTGTAGAATACTATTGGCACTGGATATTATATCACGCGCTTTGTTGGCATTCCTGAGTTTTGGTATTTTGGGCCTATTTAGTGGATTTATGAGCTCATAGTGGGTCACTAGTTGTAGAAATCGTTCTTGTCGTTCTTCATGCTGGGTTTCCGGTAGGTGTACAACACTAATTCTTCCCTCTGATCTAGATGGCGATGACGTTGGGGTAATAAGTTTTTGCGGTGGTTGGATTTCTTCTTCCGCACGTACTTCCGGTTGAATTTGGAACTCCTCTTGTTGGTATAGGATCTGGCCGACTTCTCTCTTGACTTCCTGTAGTTGAAGATCTGTGAGGTAGCGCTTCCTAACGATGACGTTTTTCCTGTCTACAATGTTTTGTTCGGTGATGTTGAAGGTGGGGTTTCTGCGCAAAAATTCGGCATGTAGTATATATCTCCATCCAGGGAGCGGCTCGTCTCTGCAGTGGTTGATGATGTAGAACGTCCTCATAACTTCTATGTTCATTTCGATTGTCCACTTCAACCTTCTGGTATCTTCTCTCCTTTGGGCAGCCCTCCGTTGTATGACAGGCGAACCCTGGGGTAGAGGGGCTTCGTAGTCTTCGGCCCTTCTCGTGTCGTCCACTCTTCTGTTTGGCTGTGAGTTTGAGTTTGGGTTTGGGTCTGTAGCTTCTTGAATGACAGGTGCCCGCCTCCTCAGCTGCCTGCCACCGACGTCCCGCATGCTGTCATGTCCAGCGCCGGCTCCAGACATGCCCTGGCGAACCCCAGGTAGCGACCCTTGACTAACAATACTTATATTCATTATTTCATGATTGGTGTCTTTTTCTTGGGGGTGAAAAAAACAAAAATATCCCTATTCAAAGCCAATTTGAGCAAGAGCCACTCTTCTGCCAAAGACTGGTCAAGAGCCACTCCTCGCTCAAACCTAGCCTCGGGAATTTGATACCGTGCAGGTCCCCGGCCCGGACGGGGGGTATTCGGAACACCATGTGCCACATTCCTGTGACGGCTGAAGTAAGCGGGTTTGCCACACCCGAGAACAGGGAAGCTGCCACCAAGCCTGCTCCTTCGTGCTTTGGCTGGAGTGTGCGGGGTTGCCATACCCGAAAACAAAATTACCCTCACTAACTTTGCTTCTCCGTGCGCAGCTGGGGTATGCAGGATTGCTACACCTAAAACAAAGTTACTCTCACTAACCTTGCTCCCCATGCATAGCCAGAGTACGCGGGTTTGCCAAACCCGTAAACAAAGATGCTCTCACCAACCTTGCCTCTCCGTGCGTATCTTGGTATTATTATTATTATTTTCGCGGGCTTTGTCCACCTTCTCACGTAAACAAAGCTAAACTTTCACATTCCTGCTGCAGACAGTAACCTTGACATCTCCCCCCTGCATAGCTCAGGCGACGCGGGGGTTCTCCCATCCCAAAACCTTTCTTACAAAGTTGCAGTTTGTCACCAACCCTGCATCTCCATGCGTAGCTGGGGTATGCGGGGTTGTCCTACATGCCCAAAATGGCAAATCTACTCGTCTCACTAACCTTGCTCCCATGCATAGCCAGAGTACGCGCGTTTGCCACACCCGTAAACAAAGTTGCTCGTTACCAACCTTCTCGCTCTTCTGCGCGTAGCCTGAATGTTGTGGTAAGTTGCCACGCCGATGGCTAGATGCTACCTCTTCACTGTTCCTTGCTCACACACAATGCATAGTCCACAGTACGTCGGGTTTGCCACACCCGTAAACACGAAGTTGCTGTCACCAACCCTGCCTCTCCGTGCGTAGCTGGGGTATGCGGGGTTGCCACGCCCAAAAGCAAAGCTACTTGAGCACCAACCTTGCTGCCCATGCATAGCAGAGTACGCGGGTTTGCCGACACCCGTAAACAAAGTTGCTCTCACCAACCTTGTCTCTCCGTGTGTAATTATTATTACTTATTATTATTATTATTATTATTATCTACAAAGTCAGAAAAAATAACCTTTTTTTATAAGTCCATAACTAACCATGATTTTCATTGCAAAAAGAGTACGGTTATGTCGTTACTTGGAAATCGTGACAGCAATTGCATTATCAATAGGTTTATTGAACTCTACGTAAAAAATACTTGTGGATATCAATTTTTACGTATTTCATATGCGGACCTGTTTCGAAATGGTTTACCATTAAAGAAAACGACAATTTTCTGGACAACATCCATTTAACCGACTGTATAGTTCTGGTTACCCATGCACCATATTTACGTGCATATTGAAGATAGATTCCATTTTCCAACCAAAAGATGGATTAATTTGACGGTTTTAAGGTAATTCTTGAGATTAGGTTGGTGATTTTGAGTTTTGAGGTTAGGCGTGATTACTGAGCTGATGTTTAGATTGAGTGACCCTGAAAACGTATGAATATGTGACGAGTTCTATTAAAAAAAGCCATAACCAAAAAAGGTTAGGGACAAAAGGTTAGTCTTTTGAGGTTAGGGACAAATTCTGACCTGACGAAGTCAATAGAACTGAAACTGACCTGATGAGGTCAAACATAAAACGAAGATGGTCTGGTATCTGGTAGAGACATTTTGTTTATGTTGTATGCTTGTTATTTCTTACGAACATTTCATGCTATTATCACTGGCAAAATATATGATTCCGATACCGGGAATCGAAACCCGAGCATTCTGGGTGAAAGCCAGGTATTCTAGCCACTAGACCATATCGTACGATGAATAATATTTTTTGCGTAAATAATGATAATAAGCAATATATAAGTAATTAGACAAAAATTCGCGTAATGTATCGTTAAATTGTATTTATTATATCATTAGTTTACTGCAATAAATTTTAAGATAAAATAAAAAAAAAATAAAAAATATTAACTCAGAAATTTTAAATGAAAATCGCTATGTAGGTACATGTTTATGACTCCAGGAATAAAGAGAGCGATTAAAAATTATGTTTGAATTTTTATTTAGTCATTGCGTTAAGACGACTTCTGGAGGGCATTCAAAGATCAAGCAGAAAGACTCATTGTAATTGATTTTGACTCAGTGAAAATTTTAATGGCAGTAACTCTTTTTGTTTTTGTTTGAACTTTTTTTGGATCACTTCGACCCAATCACAAATGCAATGCATATTCAAAGTAAAATTTTCCGCAAATGGCGCAAAACTTTCACTTTGCCCAACCATAATTTAAACGCGAAGTTTTGAATTTCTAATAAGTTTTTTAAGTGATTTTCCTTGACTTCGTCTCTGTCTGGTCATCCGGCTCAAATCTCGCATCAAATTTTTCTCCATTTTCACCAGATTTTCTAAGCTAATACACGTCTCATGTCAAAACATTTTCATAGAATGTTGCAATTTATTTTAGGTTATTCCATTTACTACGATCTATCTAAGAGCTACAAAAAAAAAAAAAGAAGGGAAGGGAAAAAAAAAAAAAAAAAAAGGGGGGGGAAGGGGGGGAGGGAAAAAGAAAGGAAAAAAATTTTAGAGCTTGCGAATCTTTAGCTATAACGTTTTTTCTCGGTTATAGTGGGTATTTGGAATGAGCCAGCCTCTTCTTTGGCTCGGTGATTTATTATTTTAGAATCTTTATAAAGGCTTCAGAATGTTTATGTGCCCGCGTGTAAAACTCCTAAGGGTCTCCCCGCGTTCCCGCGCCAACAAGAATAGGTATAGCGTACTACTCCGCATACGCGGCTTTACGCGTGCTCTGGAGAGTGTTAGGAAAGGAGTCAATGCCGTATGTAGCGCGGGAACAAAATACATGCGTATATAATATACAAGGCGCTTAAAAAATTCGGTTTATACTTTCATTATCATAGAGTTGTATAGTGCCGAGCCCTGCGTTGCCGGACACATGTCTGGACCCTATACCACGAGGGGAGGAAGGGGAGGTCGAAGAAAAGTAGGCATTTTCTACAGTTCTGTTCACTCTGTAATTTCTCATATTAATGTTAAAAAAGTTTATTTCATCTATTTTAAATACTTACTCCCTTCAACCACATGAACCCACCCTATCATTTTACCCCTAACCCCCCAACCGATTAAATTCAACATATAATCAGTTCCAGATCTCTTCATAGTATATGAGGGTTCCAAATTTGATTTGATATCTTAACGAGTTATCGTGTGCACGAAAAAAGTTACAGATAGACAGACATACAGACCGACAGATAGACAAACAGAATTTTTTTTCGCTTAATGTTAAAATCTCCACAATACTCAAAATCACTGCTAATTGAATCACAATTTTTACATCCTTTTTTCCACATTTATACTAATGTCTAAACCGACTAAACCGCTAAAAACATCAGGTTTATTGTTAAAAGTGTAATAGTATTGTGTATTTTGATATAACACTCATGATCCTGGAGTGGGTACTGGAACCTTCGGCGTAGAAACAAAAAACTGTAAATCAGAACTTTTAGTTTTAATCTTCTCCTGAAGATGACAACTTGGTTGGCGAACCACGTGTCGAGAAAAGTATAGTAGTTCGGTGTTTCGTGGAAAACGTCCAGTTTTTTTATGACACTCATGACTTGTATGAGCAATATGGCCTGTATAATCGATACGACCGCTATGACCTTTATGGCTCATATGATCTTTATATTCCATATGACTCTTATAACCTAAATGAATGACCCGAATAACCTCAATGACTTCGGTGACCTGAATGACATTTATGACATTTATGACCTTGATGACTTGATTGACCTTTATACTCGTATGGTTTATTTTACTTATGAATATGGAAGTAAAAATGAGAGTATATGGAGATACTTAATACTGTACTATTTGGATTCTCCTATCTCGAAAATCTATAAAACGCATGAATACATTACAACTTATGAATATCTCTATGTTTATATCTATAACTTACACAACAAAACAACCTCCCTCTCCTCTACTATATACAAGAAAAAACACCATCAGCCAAATTAACTTTAATTAATATTTCTGGGGGGGGGGTCCGGCCCCCCCCGAAAAGAAAAAAAAAACTAGCCTTTTCCCCGAAAAACCCGGGCTTCTTTACTCGACGCCCGTTTCGCCAATTAGTTGGCCTCTTCAGGGAGAAGATAAAAACTAAATTATTACCATAGACCATTGATTTTTTTGTTTTTTTCGCTTGGCCCCGAACCGGTAACATTTGTCTTTATTTATCAGAGCAAACAGTGTACTTGGTGGGTATCGACCATAGTCCTTATTCATACTACAGTTACACTTAATGATTTCTAAACTTTCAAAAGCATCCAACTGTCTACTGTTTCTTACGTTTCTAATTAATGTTAAATTATTTATGTCTATCCTATGGTTGTTGTCAGAAGCGTGTTGGGCAACACAAGATTTTTTCGTTCTGCCATATTTCAAATGAGCCACGCGTTCTTTAAATCTAATCAAAATAGATCTTTTTTGTTTGCCCAATATACTTTTGATCACAGTCTTTACAACTTATTTCGTATATTCCTGTCTTTTCATTATTGTCGATTTTGTCTTTGGGGTTACCCAAAAGCATCTGTAACTTATTTTTAGAATTATAACCCAAATTGATATTAATATTTTAAAAAATTGTATCTAGTCCGCGGGTGAATCTAGAATCATATGGTAACGATGTTCATATTTAGGTTCATATGGTAACGACAATTCGAAACAAATTTCGAATTGTCAGTATCACTACGAAAAGTCGTGGAATTGTACAGTGTTCTCTTAAATGTATGCTTCCTTATTAACTTATCTATTAAATGGACTGAGTAACCGTAATTTCTAGCTATATTCTTAATTATTTTTTTCTCATGTTCAAACCTCTCTTTACTGAGAGGACAATTTAACAAACGGTGAATTAAAAATTTAAAACTTACCATTTTATGTTGTAAAGGGTGATGTGAATCGTTGAGAATAAATCTAAGAGTCACGGTTTCTTTCCTACATACATACATCAAACTCTAACTTATTTTCACTATTTCTAGTGACTAATACATCTAAAAATTGTAGCTGTTCATTGTGTTTAATTTCATATGTAAATTGTATGGTAGGGAAACGGTTATTTAATTTAGCAACAAAATTATCTAAACTAATTGCTTTTGTATCAAATACCGCGAAGATATCGTCCACATTCCACATACCTGAACCAGACTCTAGGAAAATACTCGAATTTATCTTTTGCTTCTGTCTCAAATTCACTCATAATAAGATTTGCAACGAAAGGAGTTCCCCATTGCCGTTCCCTCATGTTGTTGAAAGTATTCACAATTGTATTGAAAACAATTTTGATTTATACAAATATTAGTAAGCCATTAGGCAGAATACATTAGTATTCCTTAATAATTTTATCGTCTAAACCATTTAATTCGAGTAAATCCCTGAGGTAGTCCAAAGTTTGCGGGATTGGAACACTTGGAAACAATGAGCATACATCAAACGAGACCAAAATTTCACCTTCTTGCAATTGAATGTTTTTGAAATTATTAATGAACTCACTAGAATTTTTAACTGAAAAACTTGTTTATGCAATAGGCAAATAACTCGTTCGTTAACCATTTTGACAAGTTATAATTTGGGGATCCTATAGCTGAGACGATTGATCTTACAGATTTTCCTGGTTTATGTATTTTTTGGTAAACAATATAATTTAGATATTACTGGTTTTGACAATTGTAATTTTTGCCTCATTGAAGGAGTAATAAGGTTGTTACATTCTTTAAAGATTTTTTAACTTCGGTTGTCATTTTTGGCAAAGGATTTTTTTGATAATTTCCTGTAAGGACCATTAATTAAATTGTCAACTCTCTCAAAATAATCACTTTTGTCTAAGATAACAATCTTACTTCCCTTGTCAGCTTTTAAATAAAAACAATCCTGCTCCCGTAATTGTTTGACAATGTTTTTGTCTTTCTTAGAATTTCTTTTTGGTATTATTTTTAATAATGTTGGAACTAATTTGTTTTCTCTGACAAACTACTGAATAACCGCTTCTCTGACAAACCCCCTAAAAGAATCGGGCAGGTGCTGTATTGCACATTCAACACTAGCCACGACTTCCTCCAGGGCGCCTCTAGAGGCAGGGAGGCTGAATTGTAATCCTTTATTTAGGAGATTGAAGAAGTTCTTCTTTGTCAAACACTTGCGATGATAAGTTTTCTACAATGTTGACGACTTTCTGAGGAGTATCTTTTTTTATTCTTTTAAAGCCTAATTTTTTATTTAATGAAGACATCTTTTTTAATAAATTTTGAAAAAATTAAGTTAAATTATAAAAAACTACAAACATATTCCTCTGAAGCTCGCACCGTTGCTAGTAGACACAGTCTTGCCGCAATTGTCACGCGTGCTACAGATTTGTGAATTGAGCCGTTCAAAACGTAGTATTTACAGAACTAAGAGTTCTCAGATCTTATAAGAAAGTGTTGTAATGTGATAAAGAACAATGTAAAGTATTGTGGCATTATTAAAAACTATCTAGTAGTGTATGAATTAGCAATTAGTATTATATATTCAAGATAACCTTAAATAGTTGGACTATAAGCGAGTGTGAGCAAAACTGCGAACAGAGTCAAACCAGTGGCGGAGCATTCACAAAAATTCTACATAATGAATTGTACAAAATGCAATAAAAAGGTTGCAGAACATTATAACTGTGATAGCTGTAAGCGAGTGTTTTGCATTAAATGTGCAGAATTAACTCCAGAAGAAATAAGGTGTACGACCTTACGTAAGTGAAAGC